ATTCCTGTCGAGGGCATGAACCTTGGTTGCAGGCACATCCCCAGTGGGTGTGCAGGAGGCAGCTGACCGATGTTTCTCCCTCATCGATGTTTCTAACTCTCTATCCCTCTCCCTTCTTTAAAAATAAATAAATAAATAAATAAATAAATAAATAAGTAAATAAATAAGATGGCCACTTTGACATGTGGCCTCAAGCCGGACAAGGACGGGTTGCCTGCCCCACCCCACAGGTACAAAAGCTGAGGGCCAGAGAGGCATGGGCTTCGCTGGGCTCAGGGAGAGGAGATGTGGAAGCAGGGCCCACATGCAGTCTCTGCTCCGGGGCTGACACCCGTGGAATCAGGGCTGTGGCGGGGGCTGGGGGCGTCTTGGGGACCATGGCTCGAAATGTGGAGTGGGCAGGCAGGAGGGCGGGACACCCCAATACCCTGAGGGGGGCAGATTCTGAATCAGAGTCCTCATTGTGTGAGTGTACCACATGGGGGTCACAGGACCTGCCTCCCACAAGGCGGGAACCGAGAGAGATGATCGCATGATCGAGTGTCCCAGCCGCAGGCACGAGGCTGGGCCGACATGTGAGCGCTCAGCACAGAAAAACAGGCCTGCAGCTGCCCCCTCTCCCTCCCTCCCTCCCTCCACCGCGTGGGGTGGAAACTCTGAGTCTGCCCACAGCTGTGTTCCAGAGCGCTGGACGCTGCCCTCTCGGGGGACAGGGCGGATCTTCCCCACCCCTGCTGTCCCCCAGGCCCGGCCGCCAGCTGGCTCCCCGCCCCCGCCAGGGGCGAGTGGAAAAACCCGGGCCCTGGAGGCACTCCCCCCTCTGGCTGTGCAGCCTGGGCCAAGGCAGTGGCCTTCTCTGGGCCTCCAGGCTGTGGCCCACCCAGGGCTGAGGGGAGGGTGGGATGAGGACGGACTCAGAGCGCTCCGAAGAGCCCACTCCGTTCCGCGCTGGCCACGCCGCGTTTCCAGCCGTTTGGCAGAGGGGGGCCTGGGGGCCAAGGAGGGAAAGCTGGGTGCGCAGGGTCGCCCAGCGGGGACAGGACGGGGTGAAACTGGGCTCTGGGTGTGTGTGCATCCCGCGGGGGAGAGAGGGAGGGGGAGAGCAGGGAGCAGGGAAAGGGAGAAGGAGCTGAGAAGGGAACGGCGGCTGGAGGGAAGGAGCAGCAGACACAGACAGGCAGACAGAGCCAGGGAGACGGGAGGGGAAGAGACCGGACTCCGCAGGGAGAGTCACCGAGGCTGTCCCTGGTGCATGGCGGTCCCAGTCTCTCTCGCTGACCTCTGACCCCAGGCCCTAGACACTGTGGGGCGGGGCCCTTGCAGAAGTGAGATGGGGTCCCTCGGGCGGGCCCTGTGTCCTTATAGAAGGACATTTGGACACCAGGGCACAAAGGTGAGGCCGTGGGCGGGGCCGTGAGGGCTGGGGGTGGGGTGGGAGGCCTGGCTGCCTGGCTCCTCAGAGACCCCATCCCTATCCTCTCATTTGGCCGCACCTGGGCCTCTGATGCCTTGGCAACAGGACGCTGCAGGTCGGGGGACCAGGGTCTACCCCCCATCCCCCGCCTTCCTCTCTCTCCCCTCACGGCAGCAGACTTCACGGGTCCTGCCCACCCCCCACTCTGAGCCAGGAGTATTTTTAACCGGCGTTCCTTGGAGATGAGGGTTGGGGGATCTGCACGCGGCTTGTCTGGCTGGGGAGGGTAGGCCAGAGGGGCGTCGGGGAGACTGGGCAGCTCTGCCAGGCCAGGGTGGGGTGAGGGAGCCCTGCCTGGTGTCCAGGTCACAAACAGCTCCCAGAAGGAGGAGGAGGATGAGGACGGAAGAGGTAGGGGCATGTGGCTGAGGAGAACGGGAGCCATCCTTCTCTCCTCACAGGCCCCACTGCGGGCAGCACCACGCCCCTAACCTGGCTATGTGGTTCCACGCGGAAACATCTCAGCTCCTGAGGTCCCAGCAGGAACCTCTAGCCCCGTGAGGCGCCCGGACCTGCTGGCTGCAGCCCCACCGCCACCCTCTGCTCTCCCAGTGCCTTCCCCTTCTCACACCCGCCCCCGCTCACGTCCAGCCCTCCCCCGAACCAGCCACGTCCTTCTAGTGCCTCTGACGTCCTGCACGCTGTTCCCTCTGCGGGGAACAGCCTTTCTCGGATCTGGCTGCCTCCTCGGGGGTCTGCCCTGACCGCCCATCCCCCTCAGCCGCACTGCCCCCCCTCCCTCCCCAGCGCCCCCCCTCTCTCCAGGGATTGTGTTCCTTTCCGAGTTTACCTGCTCTCTGCCTGTCTCCCCACCAGCCTGGACCCTGTTTGTCCTGTGTGCTCTGTGAACCTGCACCACACGTGAAGGATTAATATCGCGCAATAGAAGCCGATAATCCCCAGCCTGCTCTAAAACAGCGGCTTTCCCCGGTTTCTCAGGGACTCAGAGATTCACTTCACCGGGCAGCCCTTGGAGCAATGCAGCAATGATGCGAAAGGCTCCGGAGCCGTTCTCACTGGTAAGGTGACCAGACGTCCCGATTTTTCACAATTGGTCCCGCGTCCCGAGGTGTTTTAAAAAAGTCCCAATTTTTGGAAAGCATCTGGACTTTTTAAAAATGCCATGGGACTTGGGACAAATTGTTAAAAGTCAGGACTGTCCCGCCAAAAGCGGGACGTCTGGTCACCTTACACTATGGCTACGCACACACAGACCCGTGTTCGCTGCTCCACCCTACTCCGTGCCATTCCATTCCAATCCCATAACCCGCCCGTGCGGGCACAATGCAGCCCCAAAGAGAAGAAGGTTCCCCGTTCTTGCTGCCGAGGTCCCTGGACCTTCCCTGGTTCTGCCCCCTCCAACCCCCATCCCAGCTGGCCGTCCACGCTTCTTGTCGATCTGGGGCCCCCCCAGCCCTCCCTCTCCCTCAGGAGCTGGAGCTAGGGTGCTGAGGACAGGGAGCCACAACGAGCACCCCAGTCCCCGGCCTCCTGAGGTCTCCTATCTGCTGGCACCGGGCCTGCCCCAGAGGAGGGGCCGGCGGGGAAGGGAAGGGTGAGGCAGGCAGGTGGCAGCTACGATCTTCCCATGGAAAGTTACAGCCCCCGCTGGCCCCTTCCCCCCACACCCACCTTCCTCCCGGATAACAAAAACAGTCCCGTCACTGCTGGACGGCTGCGGGTGCAGACGCCATGTTCAGGGTCACAGCCTCTCCACAGGGTGGGGAGTCCTGCTCCCATTTCACAGATGGTGAAACTGAGGCTCGACGAAGGGGAGGGGTGAGGCCCAGATCTCACAGCTCCGAAGTGGCCCAGAGGGGACCTGAACCTGAGCAGGCTTTCAAGAGGACAGAAGCCGTCTCCCGTCAGGGTCCCTTTCCCTTCTCAAGGCCTCAGTTTCCCTTGGTGAAATGGGAGGTCTGGAGGAGGTGGCCTCAAAGATTGGATCCAGATGTGGCCTTTGCTGGTCGTCATGGCCAGTCCCTGGAGCCATGCCACAGCGACACAAGCAGTGCCCGCCCCTCCTCTTGGATATCAGGATCCAAACGCCACCTGGTCTTTTCCCTTCTGGGCTGTCCCAAGGTCAAGATCATGACTCCTGGCTCTCATTCCCACTCCCTCAGGGCCTGGTCCTCTGCTGAGACAGGCTCACTGGGCCCCCATCCTGGGCTTGGATGCCTTAACGCAGGAATTCCCAATCTTGGTCTGACCTGGTTCCCCTTCCTCGATGACATCCACTGTGAAATCCTGCCAGTTCATCAAAGATTCCCCCCGCCCCCCAAAAGGGCCATTTTGGTTAAAACAAGAGCAAAGGCCGGTTCCTGGGTGTGATTTCTCCTGATCCGTCACCCTCTCCTGCCACTGTCTCTGGTCACCCCCGGAGTCCCTGGAACCCAGTTTGCAAACCACAGGATTAGCCCAAAGCCACGGTGATAACTCAGGTGTGGCCTCTGGGGGACTGTTTGGGGTAAGTGGCGGGTGCTTGCTGGAGCCTTCCCCTGAGATGGGCATGGACCGGGCTGGGGGTGGAAATCATCTAACAGCACAGACTCTGGACCCTCCAGGCCTGCGTGTCCACCCCGCTCTCCACCTGGGGGACTCGCAGCAGGTGCCACACCCCTCCCGGCCTCAGCCTCTCCGTCTGTCTCGTGGGCACGACAGGACTAGCTGGAGCAGCAAACGAGACGATGCAGACCAAGCTCAGCAAACAAACATGGACGGCGTGCCCTTATTATCATTGCTCCAGTCCCACCACTTGCGAACTGCGTGATCCCGGAAGTTACAGACCCTCCCCCTCCAGGGTCTGCACCTGTAACAGTGAGCGAACGGTACCTACCGCACAGAGTCCTCTGCGTGCGAAGATAAACAAGTGGAAACGCATGAAGGCGCTTAGTGAGGGCCTGACATAAAGCGAATACTTAATAGATGCTAAATATTGCCAACACTGGTTTGGCTCAGTGGATAGAGCATTGGCCTGTGGACTGAAGGGACGCAGGTTTGATTCCGGTCAAGGGCATGTACCTCGGTTGCAGGCACATCCCCAGTAGGGGGTGTGCAAGAGGCAGCTGATCGATGATTTTCTCTCATTGATGTTTCTAACTCTCTATCCTTCTCCCTTCCACTCTGTAAAAAAACAAAAACAAAAAAAAAAACAACACAAAAAACAAACAAACAAACAAAAAACAATAAAATATATTAAGCCAAGACTGGTTTGGTTCAGTCGGCCTGTGGACTGAAGGGACCCGGGTTCGATTCCGGTCGAGGGCATGTTGCAGGCACATCCCCAGAGAGGGGTGTGCAAGAGGCAGCTGATCGATGATTCTCTCTCATCGATGTTTCTAACTCTCTATTCGTCTCCCTTCCTCTCTGTAAAAAAATCAATAAAATATACTTAATAAATAAATAAAAAATATTTTAAAAAAATAGATGCTAAATACTGCTTATGCTTGTTACTGCGATTGTCATTCTCTGCACCTGTCCTCTGGGCGGCCAAGCCTGCGCCAGGGGGGAGAGGGGGGTGTCTTACCCGGGCGGGATGGAGGCGCGGGCGCTCCCGCCCGAGGCGCGCTGGGGTCCGGGCCGGTTGAGGTTGTTCTGTCCCGGGGCGGGCGCGCAGCCGGGGACGCTGGGGCTCCGCGGGGGCGCCCCGGAGGAGGGCGGCGTGGGCTCGGCGGGGCTGGCGGCGGGCGCGGCCCAGAGTGCGGGGCCCGCGAAGGTGGCGCTGGGGCGCACGGCGGCGGGCGGGCCCCCGGGGGGCGGCGGGGGCGCGGCGGCCGGGGGCGCCCGGCGGCGCTGCGAGGCCAGGATGGCGTTGGAGGCGGCGCGCGTGCTGTTGACCAGCAGGCACTGCTGGCAGGAGCAGGGCTGGCCCGAGCCCGCGCCCACGGGCCACGACTGCGACTTGGGGATGGAGCCCACGGTGAGCGGGTAGGCCAGGTCCAGGCGGCGGCGCAGCCGGCGGCGCCGGCGCGTCTGGCGGTTCATCTGCGACATGCTGCCGAAGGAGATGAGGTAGCAGAAGCCGAGCGACGACAGGTCCAGCCAGGGGTGCTGCTTCTCGTAGGCGTTCTGGATGGTGATGCAGATGTCCATGTCGTAGGCCGTCCAGGCGCCGCCGTCGCTCTCCCACTCCCACACGATGCCCTTGCCCGGCGCCGACGACGGGTCGTAGAAGTTGCGCCGCACGGGCCGCATGGTGCCTGCGCGCAAAGGGTAGAGGGAGTCAGGCCTGGGGCGAGGGATGCTCAGAGGGCTGGAGGGGCCCGCATGGGGTGGGGGTGGGGTTGGGGTGGGGAGGATGCAGTGCAGGGCGGGGAGGAGGGTGCACAAAGGTGGGATCAGGGCAGCACGCGATGCAGGGCAGCCAGGCAGGGCGAGGGCAGGACGGGCAGGCTCCCTCCCCCTCCCAGGGGCCAGCCAGGCACGGCCCTGGGGTGGGGTGTGGGTTGGGGTTGGGGGTGGGCAGCCCAGGCAAGGTCAGGCAGAGTCAGCACCCCTGGGGGCAGAGATCCATGCAGGCACATGGGTGGCATGCAGACCCTCATTAGTTCACTCATTCATCCGGTCCTTCTACCCTTAGCGCAGTGTTTCCCGAAGTGTGTTACGGGAAGAGTTTGGTGGGGGTACGCGTTGCACCGGAGTTTGGTGGGGATATTGCACTGCACCGTGCTTAGCTGTGCCTGATTCTATGTTCTCATGAGTACGAGGGGTACTCAGCATTATAAAAATTATAGAAGGGGTACACATATGTCGAAAGTTTGGGAAACACTGCTAGCACATTCATTGCTTCCTGCCCTAATCCACACATTTATCCGTTCCTCAGTTCCCTCATTCAGCAGCCCTCCCATTGGTCCCTTGACCCACGCCCACCGGCGGTCAGCCACCATGCTCATTCACACCTGCATTTCCTCTCGCCTCCGCCCTCACTCCATCAACCAAGCATGGCCGTTCCTCCACTCACCACCATCCCATTGTAAATGTGCGCCCCTGTCCTCATTTTCCTTCCCCTCTCTCCTCCTTCCTCCCTTTTCTCCGCGGGGGATACTTCCTCTTTTACCTCCTCCTCTTGCTTCCTGCCTCCTCTGGCTGGAGTGTCCCCCGCCACAACGCAGGGACTTTGTTTTATTCGCGGCTGTACCCCCAGCACCTACCCCAGTCGGGGCTCACAGGTACTGGCTGACCGTAAGGGTGGGTTCGTTAGCTCAGACGTGGATTCCTTCTCACTTCCCTCGGGCCTTTCTGCTTATCCCTGCCCTGGCCCATTCCTGGGTCCGCTGATGTGTTTTTTCCTTCCTCTGTTCGTTCCTTTGCTCCTTCCTTTCACAAACACTCGCTGACACGGGCTCTCTGGGGGACCCTGTGCTGAGTGCTCATTCGAAAAGAACGTAAAAAACGCACGGTCACGGGCGGATGCCCACGCCCCCGTTTCAAAGACGAGGGCACTGAGGCTTCGCTCCTGGCCCCTGCTCCTGGGGCTCCCAGATCTCCAGGTGCTCCCCGAGAGCACGGCTCCAGGGGACACTGGGTTTAGCAGACATAGCCCCACGCCCAGGCTGCAGGACTTGTCAGAGCCTTCGGCCTGCCCCGGCCGGGGGCCAGCATGGAAACACTCCGGCTGCGCCCACGTGACACTCCCGCGGAAGATGGCAGGCCCACCCGCTCCTCGGCTGCGGGCAAGTCCCTTAGGACCCCCTGGGTTTCCGTGGTTCCTCCCCACCTCGCAAATGAAGGTGACGCCGGTTTGTGACTCACCCTGCCCCTCTCACCTCGGGCTGCGGGGAGGGTTCGGTGAGAGGAGCCACAGAGCACAGGGTGTGGGCCGGGCCCGGGGCCGGGAGGCAGGCAGGCTGACCTGATTTCAGGCCCCGACTGCCTGACTTCCCAGCTTCATGGCGACCGTCAGGTGACTCAGCGTCTCTGCGCCTCCCTGTCCCCATCTCTAAAATGGGCACAAGCAGGCCTTCCTTGTGGGGCTGATAAAAGGAACCATCACGACAAACACTGCCTGGTCCCTGATGATTCCAAAGTGGGTCATTTTCTGCCGAAACCCGTTTGGCTCAGTGGATAGAGCCTCGGCCTGCGGACTGAAAGGTCCCAGGTTCGATTCCGGGCAAGGGCATGTACCTTGGTTGCGGGCACATCTCCAGTGGGGGTTGTGCAGGAGGCGGCTGATTGATGTTTCTAACTCTCTATCCCTCTCCCTTCCACTCAGTAAAAAAATCAATAAAATATATTTTAAAAATAAATAAAAATAAAGTGGGTCATTTCCCGCCACATCTTCCTCGCGGAGAGCCAGGCGCCTGTGTCCGGTTGCCCCCTCGGCACCTTCCTTCCCAGCACCTTTTCAACCTTTAGTTCTGCTAAAGCACGGCTCCGACCTGTCCCCACCCGAGCCCGCTCCTCCTCCAGGCTTCTTTGTCGGGTGACTGGAAGCTCCGTCCTTCCCGCAGCGTGTGCCCCCAAACCGCCAAACGTGGCTTCACTTTTTGCCTCACACCCCTACCTTCACACACAGCCCGCCTCGGACCCTTCCTCTCCCAGGCACCGATCCTCCCCGGTCCAAGCCGCTGCCTGTCTCCCGCCTGGACCATCGCCGTAGACGCATGGCCAGTCTCTGCTTCCGGCCTTGCCTTCTGTACTGTGTTCCCCACATGGCAGCCAGAGGGACCCTGCTCAGTGCGAGGCAGCTCGCACCCGTCTCCTGCCCCAAACCCTCCCCATGGCTCCCTTGGCTCAAAAGTCCTGGCCATGACCTCTGAGGCCCTACATGGTCCACACAATCCCCCTCTCACTCCGCTCCAGACACCCTCTCCTGCTTGCTGGGCCTCAAACAGCCCAAACGCTGCCAGCCTCAGGGCCTTTGCACATGCTGTCCCCTCAACTGGAAAAGGCGTGGCCACGCCCAGAAGCTCCCTCCTTTATTTTCGATCTCTGTTCAAGACCTTCCTAGACCTCAGAACGGCTGCCCTCCCATGCCCATCCTCCTGGCTCTTAGCACTGCCTGCCCTGGTGTATCATCTGCACACTTCCTTCCCCCTCTGTCGCCTCCCACTAGGCCGTCAGCCCACGAGGACAGAGATCTTGACGGCTTTGCTCATGGCTGCTGTATTCCAAGCGTCTAGCACGGTGCCTGGCGCACAGCAGGCCCTCATGACCGTGTTTCCATTGGTAGCTGGCATCCCCCAGGGAGCCTGGCCCAGGAATCTGCAGCCAGGTGGGTGGGGACCCATCATGATCCCCCCTGCCCCTGCCCCCCCCTCGCCCCCCAACACACTTGCTTAGATTCCTCTGACTGTTTGCACTTGGGTCCTGCTCTCTCTCTGTTTGAATTTATTTTTTAATTACATTTTTATTGATTTCAGAGAGGAAGGGAGGGGGAGATAGAAACATCAATGATGAAAGTGAATCATGGATGGGCTGCCTCCTGCACGCCCAGCACTGGAGATGGAGCCCACCACCCCGGGCATGTACCGTGACCAGGAATTGAACCGTGACCTCCTGGATCAAAGGACAATGCTCAGCCACTGAGCCACGCTGGCTGGCTCTCTCTGTTAGAACTTAGAATCCAAGGGCTACGGACTTTCTCTACCCCAAGAGCTGAGGAAACCGAGGCACCGAGCCGCAGCTGTCGGTGTGGGAGCAGCGGGGAGGGGCTGGGTCCCAGGGCTCCTGTAATGTTCCAACCAATCACATGAAAAGCTCCCCGGGGCCCTGGGCAGCCTCCCTCTGATGCCTGATTTATCATGTTAATGGACTGTGTGCATATTGATTTTTTCCCCTTGACAACAGCGTTCCTCCAGGGCAGGCCTGAGAGGGGATGGCTTAGAGGGGAAATCCCAAATCCTGTTACTGCCTCTGCTCCCGAGTACTGGCCTCCTCCTCCCAGGGCCTCAGTTTCCCTGTGTGCAAAATGGGGGCCCATGAGAGATGGTCCTCAGGTCTGATATGACTGAAGTAGCACCCTTAGCCTCCCGCTGAGTGAGGTTCAGGGGCTATGTTACCTGCAAGGTGTGAGCCCTGGATGGGAAGGGAAGGGAAGGAAAGGGAAGGGGCAGGGACTCACTTTATTCAACCACCTCCGTGTGCCAAGTCTTGGGACCGGCAGAGCAGGGTGCGGTGTGGGAGATGCAGAGCGAAGTGGCTGAAACAACTCAGAAGTCTCACGGGCCATGTGCAAATTCTGGACCCACACACAGCCTCAGGGTTCTCATCTGGGAAATGGGGGCAGTGACACCAGCCGTGGGACACGGTGAGATAGTGTACGCCATGGGTGCTTAGTAGAGCGCTGGGCTAGAGTAAGGGCTCAGTGAACGTTAGTTAGCTAAGATGCCTGTTGTTAATATACAGTTATCCAGCCGAAACTGGTTTGGCTCAGTGGATAGAGTGTACATCTGCGGACTGAAAGGTCCCGGGTTCGATTCCAGTCAAGGGCATGTACCTTGGTTGCAGGCACATCTCCAGTAGGGGGCGTGCAAGAGGCAGCTGATCGATGACTTCTCTCATTGATGTTTCTAACTCTCTATCTCTCTCCCTTCCTCTCTGTAAAAAATCAATGAAATATATTTAAAAAAATACACAGTTACCCACATTCACCCTCTCCCAGCCCTTGTTCACTTTGCAAACTCCTATTCATCCTACAAAACCCCCCACACGCTCCTCTCCTCCCGGAAGTGCTTTTCTGTCTCTGCTGTATACAGTTTTTTTTTTCTTTTTTTTTCTGTCCTTATACTGTGATGCATTTATTTGTTTTTGTTCTTCTTCTTTTTTTTAATGTATTTTATTGAAGCTCTATCCACTGAGCAAAACCGGTTTCGGCCATTTTTGTTCTTAATCTTCCTCAAGGGCTGATGGCTTTCAGGAGGATAAGGACCAGGTCTGTGTTACCAGGACCCGGCACAAAGCCTGGCCCAAAGGAGGCATCTGTGGCTGAAACAGGCAGCTGTAGAGGGCCGCCTGGCTCGTGGACATTCTTTAAATTGTCAGCTGAGCCCGAGGCACTGGCAGAGTACCTTTGTCCAGGTGTCAGCAGGGGCGGGTTAGATATGTAAATCCAGTAATGCTAGAGCCTAGTTAAGAATGCAAATAAGCTCCTTTGACCCTATAAATAAACCTGCTGCAAAGCTTGGGGGTCGCCCTTGCTGCCTCTCCATCAGAGAGGTGGCGCCCACTCAGCGCCCAGCTTGATGAATCTATTTCTGCC